CCTAAGCTTCCTTTACACCCTTAGGCTAAATTCATGTCTGCCAGAATCTTATTTTCAAAGAGTTCCTCGGAGATTTTTCGCTATGAAATTTCAAAAAAGTCGCAAATGTAGACAACGATGTAGAAAGGTTGTCCACTTCTGTTGCATAAATATTCAGTTAAGTTACTGATGGGTTTTGGAGTCTACCGCGTAGACTTGTAGTAAGAACTACCCGTTTTCTAGGCTCAAAAAATAAAAACAAAGCAAAATAAAATAATCTCCCGCTTTTTTCAATACGACTTACCAGCGAAAACAGAGGTTGTGATGTGTTGTGTTTTACGACCACAACTCAATCCAAACAACCGGAAAGTATTAAACTATTACGCGATAGGCTTGATGCAACTTTTCAATGGCTACGAGAGATTCATATTTTATTTTTATTTACTTTTCTGCAGGACGAGAAGAATCAGCTCTTGCAGACCAGTGTATGGGTCAGACAGGTAGGAATTTCTGTTTCCTGGATACCTTACCAAAGATGGTTGCACAATGTATCTAGTATAATATCTAGTATCGGATAGAAGACCAAAAGGGATGAGTGAAGGGAAATTGAGCTTTTTCTAGCTATACATATAGATTCCACTTTGCCGTGCATCTGTTTAGTCAGATAGATCACAGATGACGTCAAAATGTGGTAAGAACGAAAAAGAGGCACGCAAGGAGCAGCCGAGTGTGTCACTGAAGCTCTTTCAACATTTTTCTGTGATGTATTACTTTGTATGTACAAACCCAAGACAGTAATGAATCTATAATTTGTTTTATACGATAAAAGAGCCAAAATGATGCGTCTGTCTTCCAATAGATCTTAAGTAAGAACCAATCAAAATGCCTGTATGTTTAGCTTCTCATATATTTATAAAAAGGCATGAATAAAGGGGTAAGTTTCTATATAAACTGTGGTACTGCGTCGGTGGGAGAGTATAACAAGGTAATTTAGTATTATCAGCTGAGTTGATAACACTCGAAGCGTCAGCTTTCAATTTGCAAACCCTTTACGGTGACCAATTCACGTTATCAACTCAGCTGATAATGCTAAATTACCCTACAAAAAAAGCATGATCAATTAAACTCAAAATTTAGTGATGTGCCATTCACACCCTTTACGGTGACCAATTCACGTTATCAACTCAGCTGATAATACTAAATTACCCTACCCTGATTGTAGAATGATTCATTTTATTCTGATAGGTTTGGAACAATCCTTTCCTTGTTTGGAACCAAACAGACTTTGGCGGAATAAAATCTGTCAATGTTCACTCTTCACAGGTCTGGATACCAGACATCTACCTATACAATAAGTAAGTTAAAAATGTAATCCTGTAAGCTAAGTGGAGTAAGGAATGTAAGAGGATGATAAACGTTTTTGGACCTGTAGCTCTCTTTGATTATTAAACCAACGAGACTAACTACCAAAGCCAGTTCAGGCATTCGTTTCAAACCCAAATTTAGAATATTAAAATATGACTTTACAAACAACACTTGTGGCACAAAAAACTCTCGGGAAGAGCTTTTTCGTTTACCCTCTACACGATATGCTTATATCTGTTCTTAAATGCAGTTTGTGATCAATGAAGTATTCTATTTAAAATGATTTTATAAAACGAAAGAGAGAATTCAAAGTAGTAGTAACGAATAACATTCTTTCAATGTTGCACTTTTCAGCTCGTAGCTGGTTACTTATAATTGAAGCTCCTTATAATAAAGTTTAATTTTTAGCGCTGACCACGAACGTGAGGGTGGAATGGATCAGTTTCATACACAGATAGTAATCAACTCAACTGGTTGGAACATGTGGCTAACACCTGTGATCCTGTACAGCTCTTGTAAGATGGACGTCAAGTATTTCCCTTTCGATACCCAGGTAAGGATCTCCGAAACATCCACTGATTAACATGTGATTCAAGGTTAAGTTCGGATTTCAAAGATAGAGCACAGTTCGATTGAATTTTGTAAAACGAGAACCAAAGCAATCACAACAGCCATGCAATCCGAGCAAGGAAATATCACCATAAATAGCCACTGAGAACTAGAAGTACAAACAAGCAAACCGCCCGAAGAGCGGAGAAACTCGAATGATCAAGTTGTGGTTGGTTTTAGTTTTGTATCTGATTGGTTTAGGAAGTGGCGCGAGGTTTTTGGACCAATCACATAAGGAAGTATTGAAAAAACGAAGCAATTCCGGATTACATTCGGCACTCAATTGAAGATGTCCCTGAAAATAATTCATGAGACCTAGAATCACGATAAAGGAACAAGCAGTTTGAAGTTTTTGACAGTTATGATTCGTCTACTAATAGGCTTGTGATCTGAAATTCGGTTCCTGGACGTACGATGGTTTTCGTGTGGACATGGTACCAGAGGCACTCCTTGCAGACACGACAAAGTTTGTCAGCAACGGCGAATGGGAACTCATCTCGTTTCCAGCAAAGAGGAATGTAATCTATTACGTTTGTTGTCCAGAGCCCTACCCGGATGTTACTTACACCCTGAGAATACAGAGATTGGCTTTGTTTTATTACATGAATCTGATCATACCATGTCTGCTGATAACAGGTAACGAAGAGAAACTGCAAAAGTAATAAATTATAAGCTGAGCCATAAAAAAAATTTGACCTTTATTATGATAACCTCGCAAACTAAAATTGTCCTCATTCAAGATGATGATAATGACAATCAAAGTCCTTACTATTTTGATGAAGAAAAATTCACATTTTCTCGGTGATGAGAGGTTACTTTTAGAGACCATCTGATTTGTTCTTCAGGCATTCTATAAAGTGTAAAACGTAATTTGGATCTCGACGTATACGTATGATTTTAAACCTGACGTTTCGAACGCTAGCTTTTCGTCAATGCCCGATTCGCTTTGACAAGGGGCCAACCCTCAAAATGTCAGCTGTTTTTAAAACTCATTGTGGTGGCCAATTTTCAATATCATCTAAGTTAATAAATCCTGTAAAAACTCTTTCCCCCTCCCCCTCCCCCCCCCACACACACACACATACACTATCGCAGCATTCCAGTTACTTTAGAAACTTATCCCCTTCATACATGTATTATTCCATTACAGTGTTGACAGTAACGGCTTTCTACCTTCCCCCTGATTCTGGTGAACGTATCACGTTGGTGATCACAAACCTGTTAGCCATGACTGTGTTCATGTTGCTTGTGGCAGATATCATGCCATCAACTTCAGAAGTGATACCAGTCATATCAATATACTTTAGTGGTGCGATTTTTGAGGTATGTCTGTCAACTCCTTTAATTTTAAAATCAGAAAAATGTCAAAGACGTAGTTTGTCGAAGAACATTTTGATCGCATTTGGTCGAATTGATATATCTTTGTTTCCATATCTTGTTATTTGTATTATATACCGGTATTAATTGAGTAGGAGAGCCCGGACTGGAAAATATTTGACTTTCGGTCATGACGCACGGACCTCGCTGCGCTAAAATCCGTACGTCATGACCTTGAGCCAAATATTTTTCGTCCGGCTTCCCTACTCAGTCAATTGATACATATTATAACTCTCAGAGTCGACGAAAATATTCAAGGACCTCGCTCCTCTGTTATCATAAATAAGTTAATATCTAGCAAGATATCCGTCTTCAGTTGCTCATTCAGCTTGATAGATATATCCTCCTTTAGGTTTCACTGGCTCTTCTCGCCACGTGCTTCATTCTCAAGTGCCATTTTCACGATCCTGCTTCGTCAGACATGCCAGTTTGGATTCGACACATTGTCTTCAATTGGATGGCACAATTACTCCGTGTTAAAGTCGCTCGCCATAGAAAACAGGACATACAAGAACTAGGTGATGTTACTTTTCTGCACAGAAATAAAATTGCAATAGAGTACAGAGTAAATGAAAAAACCAAGATTGAGAACGCTTCCACATACAAAGCTTCATCCCCAGACCACAGCCTGGCCACACGCCATAACGATATTCACTCACTTGTCAAACGGATTTCTCATTCAAAAGTCTTAAAAGGAAATTATAAATCAGGGCCTGGACTAAGGGAGCAGGAATCTATCCCGAGAATGGCCGTCTCGCAGGTGGAAGATTGGTACATACAATCCAGCGATGTGAGTCTAAGCAGTAATGAAGATCATGGAGTAGAGCAGCATAACTCTGAGACGGGAACAGATGGCGAGGTCAGGAAGCCTTTAAACAACGGTGACAGGCGAATGGAAGAAATGCTGAAAATGCAGGAGAAGCTGCTGGAATGTGTTCAAATTCTGACCAAAGAAGTAGCCAAAAACGAAGATGTGCAGGAAAAAAAAGACGAGTGGAACATGGTGGTCGCTATTTTGGATCGTGCTTTTCGTATGTTATTTTTAATTATGTTCTTTCTGTCTACATTAACAATCTTTTATTTTTCCATGGTTTAGATAATGATCACTGCATGGCACGTTATTGCAATAAAAATTATAACTGCGAGGATTAAATGGAATAATCGGAAAATAAGTGGAAAAAAAAGAAACAGCAATAGTATCAAAGTAGTGAAGTAAACGTTTATTTTAAGGTTTATGGTCTTGTTATGAACAACGCTGTCGTTCATACGGTGGAAAACTGAATACAGCAGACAATAACCAATAGCATAACTGTATATGCGTTACTCTTTCTATCAGACACAAAGATATATAGAAATTAGGATCCAACTAAGCTGGTACTGAATCTTTGAAGAATAGTCTTAGACATTCTTAATTAGGTTTACTCTTCCAAAAACAGAAATATGTAGGAATGTAAAAGAGGCAGTTATATACTTAGTAAATCACTTGGTATACTCAGTTTTGTAATCATACGAACTAAAAAGCGACCATAAAATTGTTCACTTAGAAAGGTTTGTGGTGGTGGATATTTACCCAACCGCCATACGGCGAGGTAAATATCCTCAGCTAGCCACTGACACTTTAGTTGTTTTTAACATATCCTAAAACAATGAGATAATTAAGCACAGAAAGATGATTTTAACTCATTTATTCTTGTAACGCGGTCATAATATTTTCGGGGGCAAATCCCGCGCGTTACTCGGAGGTGAATAGCAAAGGATATTTGGGATTTGAGTAATCAATCAAAATGCGCCTTCAACGCTATCCACTGTTCTATTATATTAATTGCTAGTAAGAAGTCGTAAACATTACTGGGAGGGTCCGTCATGAATGCATGCAGTAAGCTCATTTTCAGGGAAAGTTAGTGTGTCAACTGATCACGGCAAGTCTGAATCTTCTGTTGCTTCTCTGCTCTGTTCTGGGTTTGGTTTGCATTAGGAAGTGAAGTGCACCAGGCACCATATTGTAAAAAGAGGAAACTTTGTTCCCGCTTAATTTTGCATTTGAGTTCAAACCAGCTGAACCTCATGCAACAAACTAAACGTTACCCCAAAACATACTTTTTTTTCGCAAAATTCGGCAAAGAACACGTCAGAACTATCACTGCATCATGTCGCATTAGCCGTGTGTAAGTCATCTCAATATTTTCTACTGTAGGTCGGAGGCAATGCTTGCCCATGAAAATAAATGATCTCAACCAATATGCAGCGTCTACTAAATGTTTTGCCTGTGACTATAGGTACTTGTTTATCTTTCTAGTTTAGTCATGCTACGATATTTCAAAGAAATATTTCTTGGGAAGTCACTGGTTTTTTCGCCCTTCCTCCTAGCTGCTCGACCGACCAAATTCCTTGGAGGAGCTCAGAGTACATTTACCCCTCTCCCCTTTCTAATGACTTATAGGAAAATAATAGCCTGGTTTGCACTTAAATACCGATAAATTGCTGGTATTAAACACCCAGTTAAAAATCCTTTTTTTAGCTACATCTAATATCAGATTTCTAAGACCACGCGTAGCTTGGAGCTTGCATGAAGATGATTACCGTAGAAACACACAGAATGAACAAAAACAACCAGAGGAAAAATTTGTCAATGATAATAGCTATTAGTTGCCATTCCTCCTTCATTAGGTCGCTCATCTCCTGGTCTTGAATATATCGCACTACCTCGGCTACATCTTTGGCGAGATTTGTCTGAGTCTCTAACAGCTGTCTTGTCACGCCATCAGCAGTACCTCTAACGTCGTCTGCTGACTTCACATGATTCGCGAAAACGTGCTTCGAATGCGATGGCGGCGCGATGTCCAGAAGATTGTGCCTCGAGGCAGCGTGACTGCTAATCAGATCATTCATGGCGCCGCCGACTTGAATACCATCGTAAAAGTGGGGCATGCTTAAACGATTCGCGTTTCTAGCTCGCTGAATTGACGGTAAAAGGTTTAGTCTTGGCTGTATATCGCCAGGTAGATTGGGTGAAATGTGTGACAGGTGATCACGTGATGAATTACGACGCGAGGTGTTTGGAATCTTCCCTTGAACAACATTTCCAGTTTCTGAGATATCGTTCTCATCTTGCTTTGGGTCTTTCTTTGAGGATTCTTTAGGATCAATGCCATCCAGGATTTTCTTGACAGGTACCTTAGTAAGTCGAGCCATCCAACCCAACACTATGTGACGCACCCAGTTCGGAACGGGTGTATGTGAGGGGTTGTTGAAATAGCACCTCAATACGAGGCACGTTGCGACGAGAGCCAAAGCCACCTAAAAAACATAATGAAAATGAATAACATGACATCAACGACTCGTTTTGTACGAATGCCGGCGGATGAAAATAGCAAAATGAGGAAAGAAAAAGCAAAGACATGAAAATGAACGGACTGAAAAGCGGATAATATCACAAATGCATACAAACTCTTTCAAGCTCAGAATGACCAGAACACGATTTGATGTGGTTCGCTTTTTCAACTGATTTGTTAAAAGGTTTGCTAGGGCGACCAATCGTAGAACACAAAAAAGAAAATTCCAGTCCCAGATTCCACTCGACACTAAATGATCCGATGGATATTTAGTTAATTTTGATAGCTGGAATTACACCTGAAAGCATACACAGCGGAGAGATGATGGCTCCCAAACCAGGATTGGTCAAAAGTTTGAATGAGTTTTAGCTTACCTCAAAAACACTGCCATAAAAGTAAACAGAGATTAGAGGTACAGTCTCAGAGGTCGCTGGTATAATCTCTACCACTAACAACATGAAAACTGTCAAGGCCAGGAGATTTGTAATAACGAGTGTGAGACGCTCGCCGGACTCAGGAGGAAGATAGAAAGACAACAGGGTCAGCGCTGAAAAGTAATACAAAGGTTGCCATGTTTAACAAAAACGTTTTAAACATTCCCTAAAGGTCGACATAGTAAGGGTTTCGGCCCCTTTGAGACTTGCGTTGTAATTGGCCTCTAATGTCCAGGCAATCTCGATACCTCCCTTTTAGTTAACAACTCAAATGCGTTGGCCAACGTCTAATTCTAATCAATCAATTTTTCTTTGTTCTCCCTTTTTTTTTTAACCCTTTGTAAATAACAAAATCTGAAGTCCTTTCCCTCCTTTCCAGCCTGAAGCAAATCTTCCAGCTGTCGATTTTCGTTCTCAGTCGCGAGAAATGCCATTACCAAAGCTAATGGATATGTAACTTTCGGTTTTTCTTTTCAGATTTTGAAGTTTGAACGTCACTGTCTGCGAGTAATACGGATTTTTCAGTGTTTTAGCAGCCATAATCCGAAAAATTCCGACAAAGGACCTTGGATTGAGAACGGTGAAGGCTTTGCCGTTCATTCATCAACCTGACCAAGTGGCGCGAGAGGCGAATGACGTGTCAGCAGCTGATTGGCGAAAAAATATCGTATTTTTTCATGTGTGTTGTAACGGCTTTTCTCCGGGCTGGAAATACTTGTATAAGACCGTAGTTTCTATGATAAATAATCTTATCCTATAACATAATCTCTCAGTTCCCATGACACAACTTCAGAACTAAGGCAACCACCTACCTGATATAAGAAAGCAGGGGGCGATCATATTCACGAAATAAAACATATGTCGTCTTCTCAACGTCATGGTGTAAGTAACGTCCGGATAAGGCTCTGGACAACAGGCGTAAACAAGTTCGTTACGACTGCAAGGCATGCTTAGTAGGTCCCATTCTCCGTGTCTGATGAACTTTTTAATGTCTCCATCACACATGTTCTTTCCTCCTTCTGGGATAAGGTCAAGTCGAAGACCGTCATATGTCCATGAACCGAACTTCATTTTACAGGTCTAGGATAAAAACATTGTTATTAGCCAATTATTGTTTTTTTTTTTTTTGTATTTCAAGTTCTGTTTGATAGTTTCAAACAGCTTACTCCACAATAACAAATGTCACTTGCTGAAGTTACGATGACGGTAATTAGATACGTTATAAGTTTCTTTCTTTCCTTTGATATCACCGTTACATCAGCTCAAACAGTCCACCAAATAATAAATGATAACGATCAGAGTAATTAATTCCCTGTAAGCCTGAAAGTCTCACCAATGGTATCTGGAGACGAACTGAATATTCAGATAGAATGAACTCAAACAATGACAAATCACAGTTTCACTTGCAACGTGCAGTGGCTACTTCTTTTCTTACACGTGTCGGTTTACCTGTTTGTCAAAAGGAAAGTAAGTAACGTCAAATTTACAGGAGCTTGTCAGGATTTTTGGCGCCATCCACATAATGTCTCCATTTGAGCTTAAGACAAGTTTAGTCTTGAAACGATCCAGAGCCCCATCGTCAGAGTCATCTACACTGTATAATGAATACGACAAAAACGTACATTCGTGGAAATTGCTTTTTTTTTCAGCAGCTGTCGACGGAGATGTCCCTCAGTATTACTAGAAAGTAACTGGCTAAGCTAGTCAAGTTAAAAAGCAGAAAATAGGCTTTTCTTAGCGGGAATTTAAATTGATTTTAGCTTAAATGTTTATCATAGATTTTGATTTAGAAAATGACTAATTTTTCTGAACGATTCCGAGCAATGGCCGATTTCATCCTACGAATTGGCCCACGTGGCTTGCCAGTTCTAACCAGTGGTGACAGCTACCTCCCATGGGAAACCTTGCCTCCCCCTCAACAGTTCATATAGAGCGCCTTGCATTGGGATCAAGGCCCACAAACCCAAAAAAAAAATAACCACAAAAACCAATCAGAACTTGGAAAACATATCATTGGGAGCTTATTAGAACTGAAAGTATTTACATCTAAACGGTCTGAAGCAGGGAAAAGCGCACAGGAGTTACATCAAGGGAGTGGCGTGAGTTTTCAGACCAATCAAATGGTAAAGCAAAGTAAACCAATATATGCACAGAGTCAGTACTAAAGTGGTACTCTTATGGGATTCTACTCGTCTCTGGAGGCAACTTTAGACAGCTCTCTAAGCGGTCTTGATTGCCGAAGAATTTTGAATGACAGCAAACTTTAGAAACACTGTAATAAAGCAGCAAGTACAAGCATGTAAATGTACCGAGCGTTAAGATCCATACTCACTTGTTATACAAGAATATGTCAGGCTTCCAGAGTTTTGACTGATGCACATTAATAGTTTTTATACCACCAAAGTTTGAACTATTCCACGTTAAGAACGGGTTATTCCATGCCTAAAAAAACGAATTGAAAAATCTTAAATAAGTTCAGTAGCGATGAAACAACACAAAACAACGGCAAATGACGAAGCCGAGGGTATAATTAGCTACTGATCTACAACAATTGATTAAATAAGCCTCATAGGAAATGGATATCATATCTGAAAGTGTGGGATATTGATCGAATGAAGCCTTTAAGTGCTACTGTGGTTCTTTCTTACTTTATTTACTCCGAGCTTTCGCCGTTCTACGGCATCATCAGGGAGGACGATAAAAATATTTGCGCTATGGTATCTGAAAGTGTTTACCTTTAACTTGAGTCTAAATAGATCACATGGAAAGGACAACATGCACATTTACAGCGTATTCTGTGTTGACAATTTTTAAAACGTTTTAATTTCCGAGCATTTGTGTAACTATAGCTCGCTGGCAGAACTCCCATCCATGAAATTCTTTTGCTATGTTTGCAGTACAATCGTAACTGCATTAAATGAATCAAAGTGGAGTTTTATTGAAAGTTGGTGAAATTTGAATACCTGTCTTATCCAAACACTACTCTTGACAATTTGATTTTTGAAATCCTGAAAGAAAAATGCCGTTATGCAATTATAATGCGGTGATAAAGATATGAATTAACTAATTGTCTCCCTCAGCTATTTCGAAAATTCGAGGACGCCCAGATCATAGGCTCTCTTCCCACTATTTTGAGGAAAGAAATGAGTTACATCAATCATTTAAGTCAAAATAAGTGAAAATTTGCATTTACTTAGCAGTTTTGATCGAAAGTTATGGAAGTATGCATTGTCTGAAGGAGTTGAAATTTTGAGCCTGTTATGCATGCCTGATGTAACAGATTGATGATGAAAATCTCTTCCTCGCCGGCTTCGTGATCCAAAGTGACAACATTTTCTCCCTTGTTTGTCGTCCGATCAATTTTCAATTCATCTGTTCGTTTATCTGTTCCAAATCGCCAGCTACAATTCATATTTCGATCTAACTTTCAATTTTGTTTCATAGTCATAGTAATGGTACTATGTCCAAGATATAATTAATAGAAAGTGGCTTTTGAAGGTGGCAGCCATTTCAGTATTTTCGCTTGTTTAAAGCCAAGCTCTCCGGCTCTTTGTGTGAATTGTTTTAATTTACTGTTTAACATCGTTTTCATATTTCATACGAAGAGAACCTTGTTAATTTTATACATAATGATTTTGAATAGCCATTTAAGTCTATTAGTAAATTTAACAAAAAGTATGACCTTTTTTTTTTAAATTAAGAACTTACAAGGTTCCTCTTTCGTGTTTTAATTGATTAAGATAAATGACCATGGGTCAAATTGACCTTTACTAGTGCATTTATGAGGTTAGTATACATTCCAAAGCGAGCCTGTTGTGCTCGAAAAGATTGAAATCATCCCAAATGAGTGACACAGGCGAGACGCGTCCGGTATCTTTCTATAATCTAGAACCAAGTTCCTTGCTTGGTTGATTTTGAAGCAGGCACTGCAGCAATAAAAAGTCTAAATGACCCGAGAGCAGTGAAATGTGCTCCATTAGTAACCTTATCCCTTCAGCTTCCATAAGAACCATTTTGGACTTACCACTTCAATGATCTGATGGAGCGAGATGCCGAACTTTACTTCAACTGTATCTGTCTTCTTGAGAACAGGATGGATTTCTGGGTCATAATTATCAAATAGGAAGTGTAACAACTTCTTCTCGTCGTCATCGTCTGTTATGCTTTTATACTTTGTAACTTTTAAACAAAAAAAAAGACAGAAAGAATATTCTTATCATCTTATATGTTTAATATGCTTACATACTAGAAACTTTTTATCAGGAGCTGACTTGTTAAAAAACTATAAACTTCTTCAGCACTTAATGAACTTGGAAACCTGTCTGCTTCCTTTGTGGAAAAGTTTTTTAAGCAAGTTATAAACCTGACATGAATAATACTTTGTGTTCTTCTTGAAACTGTTTGTTATGGAACATAGAGTATCATACTACGTTAAAACCATTTGTTTATTCACCAACATGCTAAGAATGAAATACAGATGAACGATTGTTTCCTGAACTCCATTCTACTGATTTAGTCTTTCTCACGGTCAAAATTGCTGGGCTCCTGCCATGGAACTGAAATAAGTGTTACGAGATATACATGTGTCAAAGCATTCTTGCTAAAAAATGCAATTATGTTTCACTACGACCTCAAAGGACTAATTTATTCGTCATCGTCAAAACCACTCCAGGAATTTAGATAGCCCTCATTACCGGAAAAAGTACCTTTTCATAATTGAGTTCTAAATGTGATCACCATCTGATTTCATTACCGACACCCTATTTCAATTATTCCTTGTCTAGTTTTGATAATATATTAATATGTTTACCGAAACTTCATGTGACAGTAGAAACAACTAATTCTTTCATAATGCTAAAAGATAATAAGCCGATAATTTCTTGCTAAACAAGCTGCATTAGCCAAATGATTTATGATTCCACAGCCTGGTAATTTTTCGTCCTGAGTGCCAAAGAGTTCCTTTGTTTTAGATCAAATTAAGTTTTCTTTCTGTATCGTAACGGAACAACGCTTGATAGAGTTCAATGATTTTGTGCATGGTTCTGATTGTAACTAGGTTTACTGATGGAGGGAAAATCAGGGCGCAACGACAGGTTTTGGTGCGCATAATGCAGAACGAATAAAAATATATATCTTGAAATTCACGCTGGAAACATCTCGTGTCCCAAATAGGCGTTTAGAGTGCTCCCTACAGGGTAAGGCATTTGTGTGAGCCGTAAAGTTTTGCAATGTGTAAAACCTGGTAAGCTGCAGAACAATCTTCTGAAATAATCACAACCTTCACTAAAATCATTTGTTAAGTTGCTCGACAATCCTCGTGGCGCGATGTCGAAACTCGTCAAGCCGACTACACTTGAAAGCCGGGCATCCGTCAGCTTTAATTTACCTCAGCAAGAATTAAATA